TTGGCCTCCCACCTCCCTCATTTAATCCAAAATATTCTGCATTCCTATGAACAAGAATATAAGTCACTCTTTCGGTCAAGGTACCTTCGACCCATATTTTTTCTTGGACCGGGTCAGGGTCTGAACAGACTTGTTCACAGACGCAACCTTGAAATCTTGTGGACCCAAGATGCACTGGAAGACCCAAAAACAAACTGGAGGAACGATGATATTTTCACTGATCCGTCAGTCCAAGGCAAACTCCTCAGAATTGAAGGTATAGTGCAAGATTACAGGCTGTATGCAACATTTGGTGACACAGAGATCGAGTTAGATGCCAACCGAAAAGACAGCCTCTGGAAAAAAGGCCATGTGTTCTTTTATCTTGGATTTACAATCGGAGGTCCTGTTGCTTACAACGTTCACAGAGCTGAGGGTAAGAGAATTAAGTTACTAAAGTCCTCATCTTTACAAATGTCGTATGTGTTAATAATACACATTTTGTACTGCCATTATCAAAGTGAGTTAGTGCTGCGTACAAAGTTTTCCTGTACTAAACTGGTTTTATTGTTACACTTAAAGATTCTAACAATAGAAAATAGATGTCTTATATGTACTTAATGTAATTTTCTTATGTAGAAATCTCACACATGATAGCACTTGTGGTAAAGGGGAAAAAACCAATGTGTCTGAATGATATTTTGTTGGCCAGCTCTTTAAAATTTAACTTTGCTTTACAAGAACCATCGGAGAGACTTCTGAAGACGTTTGACAATGAAACAGTAAGTTTCTACTTCTCTGGGATTTTGTTTGTTTCTCATATATTGTATGTCACGTAAAAATTCAAGTCATAATGTAAATGTATAATTATATTGTTAAAATATAATGAAAAAAATATCTTGTACAACAGGACTCCAGTCAGTGGACTAAGCTGAAACCTGAAGTTGAGATAATGGAGGAGGTTCATACTTACAGGTAAAGGTTATCGATAACTATAAGACAGACCATAAAGTAATTCATTACAAGTGCCATTTTATATTATTTGCAGTTTTGCTGTTTCTGTTTGTGCATGTGAACAGAGCATAACAGAGCATTTTGTCTTGTCTATTCAAATTCAGCCTGCAGTCTGAAAGTGGCAAATATGAATGCAGCGAGTCTGCCTTGCAGTGGGTTTGTAAGGAAACCGTCAGCTTCAGATACCAGTTTAGCTCATGGGAGCGATTCATGAGGAAACCTGTATGCATGGACTACATACCAGCAGGACCCCTAATGGACATCAAAGTCACAGATGGGAAGCTAGAGGAAGTCCGTCTGCCGCACTGGATCTGTACAGGTGAGCAGTCGTAAAACGCATATGATTGTTTTATTACAGTAATAAAGATATTTATGCACACATGACTGTTTGTGCTTTGCAGGTGAAGTTGCAGCGATGTCAGACATATTTCGAGTTCTGCATGTGGACAGCAGTGGAGGTTATTTGGAGCAAGTGTCTGAAATGACATCATCCCATGTGACGTTAAACAAGCTGGAGTTCTCTCTAAGAGGAGCCATGATCCTAAAGAAACTGGGCCTATATCTAAAAGTTTTTGCTGATGTCTTGATATACATGCAAATCACATCTGGCCTCACTCTGCACGTTTACCTGGTCCCAC